CCAGCACAGGGGTTGGGGTGGCACCTGGCCCCATCCCCGTCCCTTTGGGGTCCCATCACCCCCCAGCACAGGGGTTGGGGTGGCACCCGCCCCCATCCCCGTCCCTTTGGGGTCCCATCACCCCCCAGCACAGGGGCTGGGGTGGCAGCCGGCCCCATCCCCGTCCATTTGGGGTCCCATCATCCCCCAGCACAGGGGTTGGGGTGGCACCTGGCCCCATCCCAGCTGGGGTCATGCTGCCCCCCTTTCCCTGCTGCGCTGGAGCTGGACCCCYTTTCCCAGGGGGGCCCCGGGTGCCCCATCCTCGCGGCAGGGCTCGGCCGTGCCCGCRGCGGCAGCTCGGCACCTGGAAGACGTCGTTGGCGCACTTGCGGCACAGGTTGTGCTGGCAGGGCAGGATCACCACGGGCTTGGTGAACATCTCCAGGCAGATGGGGCAGATGAGCTGCTTCTCCAGGCTCTCCATGCTGCGCGCCTCCGCCAGCAGCGGCTTCAGCCCCACCGCGAAGTTCATGGCCGCGGCGCCCGCCGGCTTGGCCCCGCTCCCGGCCCCGCTGCGCGTCCCGGCCCCGCTCCGGGTCCCGCTCCTGCTCCCGGCCCCGCTGAACGTCCTGGCCTGGCTCCGGGTCCCGCTCCCAGCTCCGCTCCTGCTCCCGGCCCCGCTCCGGGTCCCGCTCCCGGCTCCGGGTCCCGCTCCCGGCCCCGCKCCGGGTCCCGCTGTGCCGCCCGCACTAATTTTAGCCGCCGGGGCCCGCGCAGCTGTCGGCAGCGTCGGGTGACACTGAGTCACAGCGCTGGGCAGGGGCCGGGACGCCCCCGGCACCGCCCCGCGCGGCTCCCGCGCCCCGGATCCACCGGCACCGGGGGCGCTGGCGGCGGGAACGGCCCCAGCCCTGGGGTCTGTRCAGGGACCCCAACGGCAGCGACCCCCAGGCCCTGCGCAGAGCCGGGGGGGCACCGCTCTGCTGCGGGGAGGTGGCGGCAGCACCGGGGCCGCCCCGGGGCCCTGACCCTCCTGCTGCACCAGGGGCTGCGGCAGAGCGGGCGCCGCGGCCCGGCCACGGAGCGG